CAAGGTCCTGAGTTCGATCCCCAGTACCAAAAAAAAAAAAAAAGATGTGACAGCTTAGCATGTTTCTATCTTAGAAACTCAGGAGGACAAGGCCCCTGAGAAGTCCTGGGAGCAAAAAGCACAGTCCTATGTCTGCCTGTTGGGGTTGGACCACTGAGAAGTGAGAAAATTAGAGCTTCTCGTAGAATGAACCAAAAAACAAGCATTTACAGAAGACAATGAATGCTAGGTGGTGCTGTGATGGGCAGGTGGAGGGCAGAGTCAGGATCATCCTTTGCTCTCAGAAATCTCAGGTTTACTTGGCATACTGATCTCCTGGTCTCTTCAACGTCAAGGTTTTTTCTTTCCCTTCATCTTTCCTCCTTCCTGCTTCTTTCTTCCTCTTTCTTCCCTCACAGAAGGGTCCCGCAGGAATGTTTGGAATGTGTGTGTTCAGTCCCTCGGGGTGCTGCCTCTGGTTCTCCTCCTTTTCCCTTAGTGGTCCCACCATTAAGAACTGATTTTCAAGGGCTGGGGATTTAGCTCAGTGGTCTTGCTGCCTGCTATGCAAGCACAAGGACCTCAGTTCGATGCCCGGTACCAAAAAAAAAAGAACTGATTTTCAGGGGCTGGGGATTTAGCTCAGTGGTTCCACTGCCTGCCTCACAAGTGCAAGGTTGAGAGTTTGATCCCTGGTACCAAAAAAAGGAAAACTGATTTTCTAAGACATGATGGCTGACATAGCACTGCCTTTTTACCTGAGCCCTTGTTCTCCCTCCCCAGGCCTGGGCTCCAAGCCCCTCATTGAAATGAAGGGCTATGAGGACGGGGCCTCCGGCTAGAGTGCACTTCTTCAGGATGGTATCCAGAGCCCCTTGCAGTGTGGAGGGAGCCCTATGGTAATGTCACTCCTGCCTTGGAGGAGGCCTGCACTGTGGACAGAGAAGGCCTCTTCACAGTCACCATGGTTGTGATTATTAGAGACTCTTCAGTGAGGAACATGACCTGCTCCATCAGTAACACTCTGCTCGGCCAGGAGGTGAAAACTGTGATTTTCATCCCAGGTTTGTTTTTTGCTCTCTGGGGACTCATCATATGAAGGTAGGATCCTAATAAACAGAGGGGAGCCTGTAGCAGGGTGGAGGATGCAAGTGTGGGTGGAAGGGACATGGGCCCTAAAGAGCTGGACACAGTTAAGCTGAGCCCTCTTCCCTTGTCACAAAGAGAAAATGAAGTACTCTCAAAATATATGAGTAGGAACCTCTTCTCTCAGTGAAAATCTGACCCTCTTGTCCCTAATAAGATCTTGGTACTGCAACAAATTTTGATCGTAAGTAAAAATCATTAAGTATAAGAAAAAAAAAAGAAGAATTGTGAGTCTCTGCACTTGTTCGTGCTGTCTGCTGAAGGCCTCTCTTCCTGCTCTGGGGATTTCTCAAGGATTTACATATGCTCATAAAGTCATTCAACAAATACTAAACAGGGGCTGGGGATTTAGCTCAGTGGTTCCGCCGCCTGGCTCAAAAAGGCAAGGACTGGAGTTCGATCCCCGGTACCAAAAACAAACAACCAACAAATACTCAACAAGCATCGCCTATTTTCAAAATATTATTCTAGAAACTGAGGGTTAATCATTGGGCACAACATATGAAGATCCATGCACTCACAGAAGTTATATTCTAGAGAGACAGAGAGCAATGTGTGCAATGATTAATTAAAGCAAGTGATTAAATAATTAAACTGTATGTTATATGAGACTATGATGAATACTGTAGGAAAAATTAAACAAGGAGGGGAAAGGGGATTGAAACATCCCAAGGAGGTGGGATGTTTCAATTATCAACAGCTTGGTCAAGAGAGAGTTTGCTGTAAAGATGGGAATTGAACAAACAAGGGAACGAGGCTTCAGATATTTGAGGATTGAGTGATCCGGGTCAACAGAACAATGTGTGAAATGGTCTGAGGCAGGAGTGTGTCTGGCAATTGCAAGAATCTCTAGAAGCGATGCTGGTGTGGCTGTAATCCAGTGAGTACAGGAAGTAAGAAGAGAGGACTTCAGAGAGGCAGTGAGACCATGCCAGAAACAGACTTTGGCTTTTAGTCTGAATGAGATGGAAAGTGTTTGAGTGGGTTTTAGTAAAATATTGACATGATGTCAGGCTCTTCCATGGAGAATAGTCTGTACATGGAAGGCAATGGGATTATTCTAGACAAAGAGGGATGGTGGCTCACACCAGGGTGGTGGTTGTGGTGATTCAGTGTGGCAGTTAAGGGACACTCACTGACAGTCCCCACAGGGACTCTGGTGTTTCTGCTCTTCTGCCTCCTGGGCTCTGCTACTGCTGAGCCCACCTCTCTGTCCAATCTGGAGCTTCTGGGGGAGAAACCACACAGGGAGAACCCAAGGGGGCACTTCAGACGCTGGCATCCTGTTTGTCACTTAGGGGGACTTTTCTGGTCTCCTTTTCAGAATCCTTCACACCCACCCTGTCTCCCTGGGCAGTGGCTCTGGCTGTCAGCCTACCTATTCTGATAACTCTTCATGTTTGGGATCATTTGTCTTAAGAAACTCCATGGGGGAAAAAGAGTCTGTCAGAGGAAAAAGATACTGAATATGATGAAAGAGAAATTGCACATAAGAAACTAGGGCAAGAACATGTGGAAAAAGAGAAAGAACAGCAAATAAGAGGTAAAAGGGTAGGGAGACGGTTCACTGTCATGGAGAGAGCTCCATTCTGGCAGGCAGTAGCATGGGGAGCAGAGAGGAACCTCCCAGAGTCAGCACAGAGATTGAAACTACAGCCTTGCAGATGACCCCCATACTTTACCCCCATACAATTACTCACTATTGAGTTCACTCACTATTGAGGATGGCTGAGGCACTGTACTATTTGACTATAGCAAGCCTAAAAAAGGACCGATACTATCCAGCCACCCAATTGCACATCATTTCTGGTTCCTAAATTCAAGGGATGCCGCTTGCTGCAAAAGCACAAAGACCCGAGTTCGATCCCCGGTACCAAAAAAAAAAAGACCTAAATTCAAGGGATGAAGATGTTGATGTTAGACAAAGGGTCAATCCTTACATCATTTAATATGAATCCAAATTATCTTCCTTCTATTGAGGACTTTACTTTGTTTCTTTTTCAGAGCAACTTCAAGAAGAACTACGTAAGTAATAGTTCCCTGAACTATTCCATGCACAATTTGTGTTCCTCTTGGGTAGCCATTGTCTCATGACATTCACCTCTCTGTCACTTGCAGGATGGAGAAGAACCCTTGTACATGCTAGTGAGTGCCTTTGACACTCCCTCAGATCCTGAGCTTTCTTTCCACTAGAAAGCCATCTAGAGGAGATAAACAGGAGGCTAAGGCTTGGCTCGGGTGGGGGTGGGTTGGGGAGGTGGGGAAGAGTGGAGCAGATTTGAAAAAAGACAATAGTGTCTTAGCTAGTTATAACCTAGAAGGTGGTGTAGACTCTGCTCAATTGAAGACGCATGGGAGGGGGGAGGGCGACAGTAAGTATCCCTAAGTCTGATTCAAGGGTATATAATTAGCTGTCTCAAAATGGCTTCCTGCTCCCAGGAGAGCACTGGTACTCCATAAACAGTCTTTGGGGAAGGCAAGGCATGCACAAGAGAGACACATAATCCATCTGCCTACTCCTAATGACCATCTTGCATTTTAAAATTTGTCATCATCTGCCAAAAGCACCAAAGAATAAATGTTTTACCAGATACCATGCCACGTGGACTTTTCTATTTTAGGGAAAATTTTAAATTGTCAAAATAACCTGGGACACCATTCCAAGTTGTCACAATCAGATATATCACCCTGGGGGAAAGGAGGAAATCATTTTATTTTTTTTTTCTTTATTTTTAATTTGGAAATCATTTTAACAGAGTAAGAAAAGTAGCAGACTGAGGCAGAAGGACCACCACAAGTTCGAGGTCAGCCTGAGCTACATACTGAGTTCAAGGCCAGCCTGAACTACAAAGCAAGACCATGTCTCAACCCCCCTTCCCCAAAAAAGTAGCCAGTAGCTGGGAGTGGTGGTGGACACCTGTAATTCCAGCACTTGGGAGGCTGAGCCAGGAGGATAGCAGTGAGTTCAAGGCTAGCCTGAGCATCGAGTTCAAGGCCAGCCTGAATTAGTGAGACCCTGTCTCAAAAAAAAAAGTAGCAAGCAATATTAAATGCAGATGAGAACAGGGCCTGAAGTATTTCCTGTTCCCAGACAGGAGGACCCTGGGGTTCACAGGGGCCCAGGGAGTCACAGTGCCTGAGGGTAGCCTAATCCTATACAGGCCAAGGACCTGCTACCTTCTGCAGGGCCAGTTTTCCAGTCTCACAGCCATTTAGGGAAGCCAAGGCCTTCTCCATTACTGTGGCACTGCACCATCTGATGCAAATGGGCCCTTCTTCCCTCTGGTCACAGCAGAGAGGATCGTCCAGCTGCTTCACACCCAGTTCAGGCCCAGGCCCAGGCCCAGTTCTCTCCCTCTCTAGACTGTGGCTTTAGTAGCTGAGGTGCCTGGAAGTATGGGGCAGGCACAATCTTCTTAAGGAACTGCTGCTGTTATACAGCTTGCAGCTGGAAAGGACGTGTGAGAGGCAATGGGCAGAAGTATTGCTGCTTCAATACCAGGGTGATGAGGTTGAGCCAACTACTACACTGCGAACATGGGTGAGGGCAGTGGGATGCACCAGGATATAAGAGGAAGGAGGAAACCACAGAACTCTGATGTGGAGGATAAAGACAATGACAGACAGAAGAAGTGGACTAGAGAACTGAGAGGAGACAGAGGTTGCAGTTAAGGCCTACCATTACAGCTACTATGGGGTTTCTGGAGCTGACCATCCATTTTCACCCAAACCCCAAGATTTCCAGACCACATAACTGTGGGCCCAGACCTGGGATGCAAAAGAATGAAAAATAATGCATTTGGATTTGGCCTGGATTGGGCATTCTTGCAACAAACAGGAAGTTCATCTCATCCTCCGAGAGTGGCTTGAGATTTTAGGTCCTGGCTGAATTGTCAACCACAAGGCTCAGATTTAGTGTCAATGTTCTTGGTCTCAAGATGGCTTCATTGAGGACCTGAAATCGCTTTTGTTCTTTTGTGTTAATGTCTATTATTACTTATGGTATTTGAGATTGAAACTGAGAAAATTTTAAATGTATTTATTTATTTATATCAAACCAACTACATTTATATAAACCAACTATAGGTTAATAAAAACAGCATGTCTTAGGAAAAGTAATTTGTTTCTAAAGCAATATTGATTTCATTAAAAAGTGTGGAATTATCTAACTTTTCACAAATCTAATTCCTGACTTAATGAAAGATAGATTCTCATATCTGCCTTTGCATTTAATCTTTTGGGACATCAAAGGTCAAAAAGGACCTGGGAACCCAGGTGTGGTGGTGCAAGCCTGCAAGCCTGTAATCTCAGCACTCAGGAGGCTGAGGCAGGAAGATTACTTTGAGTTCAAGGCTAGCCCGGATTCCAATAGTAAAGGACCTAGTAAACAGTAGTGTGTAGGAGTGAAAGAATGAAAGTGAAGATAACAGATAATACCTTATATTATTGTGAAAAAGTATTAAAATTTCAGACCCTTGAAACTGTCTCAGAGACTCCCAGAAATCCTCAATCCATATTTTAAGAACCAGGGTAGATAATCCTAAAGTTAAATTATGCATCTAAAATGCTGGCTTACATGATAGTGCTTTAAATTTATGATAATTTAGTAATCTAATTGTAAAACTGGGCTGAAAAAAATGTTTTTTTTAAATACCGGAGATGGAACTCGGGTCCTTGTGCCTGCACAGCAGGCGGCAAAACCAATGAGCTAAATCCCTGGCCCTGAAAAAAATTTTTAAGTCCAAAACTTTATTAATACAGCTGCAAATGGACTCACAATAGAAAGGACCAAGTTGGTTTGCTAAGATGGAAGACTGGGTTGTATATGGGCATGTTTTAGTCCATTCAAGCTGCTACAACAAAAATACCATAGACTGGGTGGCCCATAAACAACAGAAATTTATACCTCACAGTTGTGGAAGTTGAAAAATCCAAGATCAAGGCGCAATCAGACTAGGTACCTGGCCCATAGTCTTTGCTGGGTCCTCACATAGTGGAAGGGGTAAAGGAGTTCTTTAAGATCTCTCTTTTTTTTTTTTTGAGACGGGGTCTCACTATGTAGTTCAGGCTGGCCTCAAACTCACCATGATCCTCCTGCCTCAGCCTCCTAAGTGCTGGGATCACAGGCATCACACCTGGCTAAAATCTTGTTTGTAAGGGTACCTTCCATTCATATGGGATCCACCCTCATGACCTGATCACCTCCCAAAGGCCCCACCTCCCAGTGCTTCCACATTGGAGATTAATTACAACACATAAATTGGGTAGGACACAGACAGTCTGTCCACTGCAGTGAATGGTACTATTGTTATATTATTATTTGGACATTTTAAACTAAAAGCATTAGATTGTAACGACTCAAATATTGCTAACAATTGCTTATATTAAAGATTTTATAGATCTTCAGTGCTCCGTAAATTGTTTTCTAATGGTGCCAGTGATTAAACCTAGGGCCTTATGCATGCTATGAAAGTGTTCTACCACTGCGCTATAACCTTAGCCCTAAAATAAAGTTTTAAGAGAGTTTGTATACCTTAAGCTATGTCTTTGAGTTCTCAAAGCAAATATATGTAATCCCCAGTTAACAGTAATATACTGGAGTCTCGCAAGTTAAAGTGATACTTTTTGTTCAAGGAAAGTAGTATTCTTACTTAATAAACCATATCTTGTTTTAAGTGCCTTCCAAACATATAATTGATATATTTTAAGTGTTTATTGAAAGTAGACATGAACCCAATGCTATGCTATTCATTATCTAATCATTCAAATAGAAAACATGTCAGGCAGTCTTCTTCCTTTTTTTGGGTTTTTAAAATTTTTTTAATTTTTTTGGTACTAGGAATCAAACTCAGAACATTTCACAGTGAGTTCCACACCTATAATGTGCCCACTATGCAGAAGCAACGGTGTAAGCACCAGAAGGATTCCTTATCTTATTGGAGTTAACTTGTAATTAGGAGTAAACAAATGAGGAAGAACTCAGATTGTGTGTGGTGCCAGGAATGAAGTAAACAGGATGATGTTACGGAGGCCTGTGGGTGGGACTACTTTCAGGGCAAGTCTGGGGAGGGCCTTCTGGAAAGGTGATGGCTTTGCTGAGACTTGAAGACAGAGAGAATCACCTGGGGTGAGGGCCGGGGTGGGGGTGGGTAACTGAGCAGTGGGGACAGCAAAGCACAGGAGCCTCAAAACAAGATAAAGTGACCATTGATGGAACCTGAAGAGGCCCGTGTGGTCAGAGCAAAGATGGAAAATAGGACAGGCAGGAGACCTAGCAGAAAGCAGACCATGTACTCTGAGCACCCCATGCAGAGTATAGCTCATCCTTGTTAGCACATCCTCTTCTCACATCTCAGATGACAGTACAGTGTACAACTTCAGAGAGAAAATAGGAGAAGGAAGAGGTCCTGCACTTCCAGTCCCACCTTCTGCACCCACTCCTCCTGATTGGCTTCTTTCACTTTCAGTGGAGCGGGTGTCTTTTCTCCTGTGTTACACAAGTCCTTCTCCCACATCTGGGAACCCTACTCCCTCCCTCAGACTTATCTATTCATTCAACAATGATCCATGAGCATGATATGATTAATGGTCAGTGTTGCAGAAGCTAGGGGGCACAGAAGAGTGAACAAAACAGAAAGTTTCCCTTCACACAGACCTACCTTCTGGTAGGAGACAGAAACAGAATTAAAAAGTTAAATGTATGCTGTGTGTGTTGAACGGTGGTAAATCCTCAGGAGATAAATAAACCAGGATAAGGAATATCAGAAGTTGGAATTTAAAACAGGGTGAAGTGGGTATTCTAGCTTGTATCAAGATTCCCCTCCCCAAAGCCTCATTAGCTTGTAGGTAGGGCTCTAGGGAGTGACTGGATCATGGGTGTGTGTTAACTGTGTAAACTCCCTAATTGGATTAGCATAGTTGTGGGTGTGGTTGAGTAGATTTACTGAAGACCAGCCATCTCTACCAAGAACCTAAATTCAAACTCAGCCATAGTTACAGCTATTTCTTAGGAGCTTTAATTACATTAGGAGTCTGTTTTATGACCATATATGAACTAAAGGGCAGACTTATTTTTGGTTTATGACCCAAAATGTTGCAAATACTAAGTCCCAATGTTTGTTTGTCCCAAGGAACCCTTACAAAGACACTATTCAGTCTACTCAAAGTTTAACGTCATTACTATACTCAATCCCAGCACTTGGGAGGCTAAAGCAGGAGGATCACCAGGAGTTTGAGGCCAGCCTAGGCTACACAGTGAGTTCAAGTCCAACCTGAACTACACAGAAAGGCTCTGTCTCAAATAAATAAAAAAATAAATTACACAGAGCATACTATACTGGCAGAGTGAGAAATATAAAAATACACAATGTAGCTGGGCATAGCGGTGCATGCCTATAATCCCAATTTGGGAGGCTTCAGCAGGAGGATTACTCGGAGTTCAAGGCCAGCCTGAACTATATAATGAGACCCTGTCTCAAAAAAAAAAAGTAAAAAATACACAATATAATACAATATAGTAGCCGGGTGTGGTAGTGAACATCGGTAATCCCAGCACTCTAGGAGGCTGAGGCAAAAGGATTGTAAATTTAAGCCCAGCCTGGAAAATTTAGAGATTTAATGAGACCCTGACTCAAAATAAAAAAGAGCTAGGAATATAGCTCTGTGCCAAGGTCCTAGGTTCAATCCCCAGTACTAGAAAAAATATACATAATAATAAAGTACCATGTAGTAGAAAGTAGGGAGGGTAAATGAAAGTGCTCACTAACACCCAAAATAATTTTATGAAAAATAAAGAACATACCAAAAAATCAGTGGAAGCACTGTCTCTGGAAACCAGAAAATTACATAATTTGGTAATGAATCTGAGACTTAAATTCTGGAGATAACTGAAATAGATGAAATTGGTCTGTTTCTACTCCTTTCATACTTCATTGGCTGTAGAGTAAAAAAGTGAGAACCTCCTCTTGCGCCTATTTATATAAAAGCAGATGCTAGCAATTGCCACCGTATAATTTTAATTAAAATGATACACACAATACAAATTTTCCTCTCGACCCACTAAAAACTTTTTCTACTGAGTTCAGCGGATGCTTCTATTTTAAGACATAAAACAGTTGAATTTCAAGAAATACTGATTATACACATATATTAATGAATCAAACAGTAAATTCACACAGAGGCAGGGCTGGAATTTTTCTTCATTGTGTATAATTCAAGGCAGGTTCAGTTTTCACTTAACTTTCCCCAGGGTTTTACCGCCTAGCAACTGATAAGAAACACTATCACTTTTGAGGCAATCAGAAAATTAATTTGTCTGAAAAAAATTCCATTACAGTTTCTCAAAGTAAGCCTACAACACATGCTCCAAGCTAAATTTGGCCTGAGGATGCCTCCGTAGTTGAGTGCTTGCGTGAGGGACCGCAACAACATTCTTGCGTAAACGGAGCTCAGCGAATCACAGTAGCCGAGCCCCAGCCAACCACAGCCTTTTTTGTCAGGCCTAGCTTGCAGCTTCCTGCATTAGCGTCAGTTCCGTATTACTTGTGAGTTTCCGGCTTTCGGCTCCTGCATGGATGACGGGCTCCTTGTTTCCCAGTGCTGCTTTGCTCAATTAAGCTGCTAAATTTAACTTATTAACCTACTTTTAACAATGAGGAGCTGTCGCTTGCCTTGGTTCTGCAGGCCGTGATTTTCAAATGGAGTCCCGAAACGTACGTGGGGGAGATCGGCGCAGAGCACAGCTGAAGACAGGGCTGGGAAGCTGAGAGGCGGGGGCCGGCCGGGGTTCAAAGGGAGAGGACACGCGCGGGTGGGATCTGAAGAGAGGAGAACAGCGTGACAAGTGAAGCCTGCCAGCTGCATGCGCTAGGGACAAATTACGATCTTAAGCAAAAATATGGCTCAGAATAGCTCCTGGTTATCTCTCGATTGTATTCAAAAGGATTCCAAAAGCAGATATCCCTTAGACTGGGCATGAGGGCACAGGCCTGTAATCCCAGCCCTCTGAGAGGCTAAGGTAGGTGGATCTCAAGGTTGAGTCCTGTCTGGGCAACTTCATCAGACTACGTCTCAAAAATAGAGGCGGGGGAGACTGAGGATGTAGCTCAGTATGAAGGCCCTGGGTTCAGTCCCCCATAACGGGGAAATAATGCTGTAAAGATTTATGTGCACGTTGTAAATTCTTTTAAACTCCGTATTTTCCAGGTGCCTTAATTCCCCATTGTGTGTGCAGCCCCTCACCCAAGCAACTTGAGTGCCCCAATGTAATAAACCTGGCCCCTGCCACAAGTTCCCCTTCTGACCTTGTGACCACCCATCTTTTTATCTTTTTCCGGCTCATTTCTTTTGTGAAGTCCATTTTTCCAGCCATTTTCTAAGCTGAATTTCCTGACAGATTGCTGAAAGCATATGACAAATTATTGTATTTGGAAGAAAACCTTTTTTAGTGTAGTGATCCAAGATTAATTCATTTATCTGCAGCCCATTAATGTATACAATGCCTGCCTTCTTCCATGTTTCATTTTGGGTTTTATGGTCTAATTTGTTGTTTTATACAAACTTAGATGAGTAGGCAGGTGCTGATGTCAGTGAGAACTGAAAATCCTCACTGAAGAGGAGGTATTGGAGATGGGCTTTAGATGCAAATCACCAGAGCCTTCCCTGTTGGAAAGACCTGTTGGAGGCCTGTGGAAAAGAGGGCCTCCCAACCACATAGTTACTTCCTGACCATTCATCTCTAGGCTGAAGTTCCTAGTAGACTCATGTCTGTATCCTCCTGCTCCAGAAAGGACGTGGATGGCCGTTTTCTCAAACTTCCTCCTTGGGTGTCTGCTTACCCTTATGCTCCTGCAGCTGCCCACACTGGATACAGGTAGGTCTCCCTTCTTCCCCAACTCTTTCCCTGCTCCAGCCCACTGGGTTGAAATGCTTCTGCAAATACAAGTCATCACAAAGGTTCTTCCCAGGTGAGATGCAGGGATCCACTGTGAGCCAGGTGGATACCTGAAAGTGAGAAACAGCATGAGCAAGTCTGCTTTTTGGCTGGGCTCAGTTCCTGTCAGTCTACAGTTCTATCACCTCACCCATATCCTGCTTTTTGTTTTGTTTTTTGGGGGGGGCAGCTCCTTTTGAAGTCCTTGGACCTCTGGAGCCTATCCTGGCCTTATTGGGTGAAGACTCTGAGCTGCCCTGTTATCTTTCACCAAGTATGAGTGCTGAGCACATGGAACTTCGGTGGTTCCGGAATACATTCTCTCCGGCTGTGTTGGTGCACCAAGATGGGCAAGAGCAGGAGGGAGAGCAGATGCCCGAGTACCAGGGGAGGGTGACACTGGTCACAGAAAACATCACTGCAGGGCATGCAATGGTGAGGATACATGGCATCAGGACCTTTGATGAAGGGGTGTACGGGTGCTCCTTCAGAGATGACCAAGTCCGTGGAGAGGCCTTCCTACAGCTGAGAGTGGCTGGTGAGTGGATGGGTTTTCGCTTCTTGGGGGACACTTAAGGGGTGAAAGTGGTTTATAAACTGTACAAGCGTAATATTATGGTGAGGCATTACTGCTGTGATTAGAAGTTACTCAGAAACTTAATGTATAAATTACTGCAGTGCCTTTTAATATTTACTTTTAGCTGGGATTTTAAAAATGTCTTGGTGAAGCCTGTATCTCAGCTCCATGACAGTGGAACCTCTATGGCAGCAGCTTATGTTGGTCCCTGTGCTTTTATATGTAGGGAGAAACGATTATCTTGACAAGTACTTTTAAGAACCTAGAAACTTGACAACACAAAGCTATGGCTCTTCTGTGAGTCACAGACCCAATTTTAAAAATAGTAAAATTTGTTAAATCTCTTGACAGAAATATACATTCATGTAGATACGTATATGTACTTTTTTAGTGGCCTTTTTTGGGGTTTTTTGGTTTTGGTTGGTTTTTTTGTTTGTTTGTTTGGTTGGTTGGTTTTTTTGTGTGTGTGGGTTTTTTTTGGTACCGAGGATCAAGCTCGGGTCCTTGCGATTGTGCAGCAGGCAGCGAAACCACTGAGCTAAATCCCCGGCCCTATTGGGTTTTTTTTGAGACAGGGTCTTGCTCTGTAATTCAGCCTGGTCTCCAACTCAAGGTAATCCTCCTGCCTCAACTTCCCAACTGCTGGGAATATAGATATGCACCAACATGCCTGGGTACTTGTTTAGTTTTTCTTAGTACATGTTTGTAGTACATAATGATTACTTCCATTGTGGGGAGTTGGTACATGTACATAATAACTCTGATTCTTTTTTCTTCCCCTTCCCTCCTCCCTCTTGGTCCCCTTCGCATTTACAAAAGATCTATATTTATATATTTGGGCAGGTGCCCAATGGATTAGCTGCGAAACTATCAAGTATCTTCTATGCCCTACAGAGTTATAAGAAAAGAAGCAAGCAGAAAAGTGAAGCCTCCAAAGTAGTAATTTAAGGGCCGGGGATTTAGCAGTGGCACTGTGCCTGCCTCATAAGCACAAGGTCCTAAGTTCGATCCCCAGTACCAAAGGAAAAAAAAAGTAGTATGAGGAGTCTGAAGTAGAACCCATTTAAGGGAACCCCTGAAAAAATATTACAACAAAGGAACACTGAGTCTTCTACTGTGATTCCACTTCTTCTCCCATAGTCACCCAGAGAAAAGCTCAGGAAACAATTTTCCTTTCTCCAGTTCTTGCCTATCCCACAATACACTATGTGTTCTGCCTATTCCAGCCTTCTGCCCTCACTTCCAATAACAGGGCTCCTTTCCACCGCAAGAGTTCCCAGCCTATGCCTCTTGGCCCCTCTAAGCCTTTGGACTTGCTGTTCCCACTTCCTGAAAGAATACTTCTCATGTCTGTCTATACAACTCTGTCTGCATTTTAAAGGCCACCTCAAATGCCCATCCATCCTTTAGGGGTGGACTTGTTCCTGATGCCCACAAGGTATCTTTTTGATGTGGTGTGTGAAATGTCATTTTATTTTATTGGTACCTAAGTTCCCTTTGAAATGAGGAATTGAGATATCTCTATTCCTGTTTTGGTTACTGTGATTCTCTATAAATACTGTAGTCCTGTGGTTATAAGGGTTCCAGGAGGGTAACCGCTGAAAGATTAAAGCCACCTCTCTCTCCACAGCCCTGGGCTCTGACCCTCACATCGGTATGGAAGTTCAGGAAAGTGGAGAGATCTGGCTCCAGTGCACCTCTGTGGGGTGGTACCCAGAGCCCCATGTGCAGTGGAGAACTCCCACAGGGGAGAAGTTTCTGTCCACATCTGAGTCCAAGAGTCCTGACCAAGACGGTCTTTTCACCGTGGCAGCTTCAGTGATCATCAGAGACACCTCCCTGGAGAATGTGTCCTGCTGCATCCGAAACCTGCTCCTAGGCCAGCAGAAGGAAGTAGGGATTTCTCTATCAGGTCAGTGGGACAGGGCTGCCTCCTGTGTTGACACAGCTTCAGGACCACAGCACCCGGGACCCCTGCTCAGGTGTGACTTCTTGACAAAGTTGTCTACTTTTCCCTCAGCTCTGCAAAGTCTCTTGCTTGATGGCTTGAGGGAAACCCTAGAAATGTTACCAGATTTGTAAGAATTTTGAAGGTATAAAGTCTGTATAGATCTTAGAGAAATGCTAGCTTTTTATGACTCTTAGAAAATACTCAACCCTCGTATCCTTGAGTTCTGTATCCATAGATTCAACAAACTATGGGTAGAAAACTTGAGGGAAAACATTCACATCTGTACCAAACATACACAGACTTTTTTGTCATTCCTGAAACAATACAGTAAGTCTCCAACCTCCAAACATTCAAGTTGCAAACTTTCACAGAAACTAATGGTCCTCAAATTCTGAACATTCATAGATGTAAACAAATCAAGAAAGTAGCTCTGTGTCTGCCCAACATTGTCACAGTTGTGCTGCTGTGTGCTTACTGTACAGTGTGATAGTGTACAGTAGTACACTGCTCAATCAGAGCCCAGGATGTCCGGAAACATTATTTACAGTATTTGTGTGTGTGTCTTTTTTTTTTATGCTTTACATTGTATGTAAGGTACATAAGATGTACTTTGTCAAACTCACAAAGGAATCTAACTTATGAATGTTGTCCTGGAACAGAACTTGTTCATAAATCGAGGACTTACTGTACAGTCTAATAACTTTATATATCATTTTCATTATTTTGGGTGTTGGAAATAGTCTTGAGGTGATTTAAAGTATAGAAGTATTTGTATATGACTCAAATACTTATATACAGAGGCTAATTAGTAAACATTATCAATGGATATTGTCCATTTTTGGTACAGAGGTTTCTTTCTTCGAAGTCCACAAATTCTATATTATTTTTCTCATTTTCTAAATCATCCTTAGCTCTCACCCTTTGTTAGACCTTTGTGCAAGTTGTCAAGGTCCTCGGGGAGGCCAGTCATCTCAGTTACTCCCCAGAAGTCACATGATTTACTCCTGTCCCCCGTGGATTTTAGTTGTGTCTTATTCTTTGATTTCTCCTCCCATTCACCTTCAAGAGGCCTTACTGTTGATGATAGATCCTTCATATTTCACAGAATGGAAATTCCTGTTTTGTTTTGTTTTCTGTGTTGGGTTGAACCCAGTCCTCACACACTCTAGGCAACTGCTCTACCATTGAGTTCCACCCCTAACCTCCTCACTGTTCATTTTGTTTGTTTGTTTTGCCTTCTTTTTTGAAACAGAGTCTTGTCAGGCTGAGTTTAAACTCTCTATGTAGCCCAGACTGGCCTCCAACTTGCAGCAGTCTTCCTGCCTCAGCCTCCTGAGTGCTGGGATTACAACAGACATGCACCACCACATCTGGCTTCATTTTAATTTCTAACAAGGAAACAAATGTCTTTGTCCATTTTCCTTCAGACTTTCCAGTGATCACTAACATTCACAGACTCCACATCCTTTCATTGAAATTCCCCTCAAAGGCTCAACTGTTTCCCTAATTCTGTTCAGTTATATCTTACCCCTCTTTTCTCTTGATATGTCTGGCCTTGATAACTGTTCCTTCCTTTTAGAAACTGTCTCCAAATATATCATCCAGAACATCTCATTTTTCTGTTTCTCTTTGAACACATTTTTCTTACAGCTTTCGTAATTCATCTTTCTCCATCCTGATATAAGTATTCTCCAAGGATCCCACTTGATGCACCTTTTAGGGTTCTCCTCTGGTCATCATCCCATTTTCCTTCAGCTTCTCCTCCTGGGGGTGAGAATGGGGCTGAAAGTTCCAGCCCTCTAACTGTGCCTACAACTCTGAGGAGATCAGGAGACCAGCCACCCATCCCAAAGCTCTGTAGTGTCCTATCATTAGTGTACAAAAGGCGCTTGGGACCTTGGCCTGGTGGCCTGTGAGCAGGTGGTGCTGGGGACCTGGAAGGCAGAGGGGAAGGGCTTGTAGAGGTTGGGATTTGGTGGAAGGAGGACAGTGTAAAAGAAGAAACTTGCCAGCTGCATATTCTTAGAAACTAATTATGAGAAAGGAACACAAAGACTCTTAAAATCTCATAGTCATCTCTGGTGGCATATTCCAAATGTTCTGAAAAGATAACCTGCTTGAACTCGACATGGTGGTGCGTGCCTGTAATCCCAGCAGTCTGGGAAGCTGAGACCTGAGGTTTGAGAGTTTGACCCCAGCCTAGGAAACTAAATGACATATGGAAACCCAGTCTCAAAAGAAAAAATTCTAAAAAGTGCTGCAGGCATACCTCTGTGAAGGTCCTGGATTCAGTACCAAAAAAAAAAAGCAACAACTGTTGTGCTAACAATTCAGCTCAGGGGTGTGGCACCAGCAGCACCATCCCCAGCACCAAAGAAAACCAACCAACAGTCTTAACCACTCTTGAGATTCCAAGAAACAGACAAAAGGAAGACCAAATGTTCTCTAATATCGCGTCCACTCATCTCCACTTTAGAGAGCCAGCCTGTGGATTTACATAGCACACATGTGAAACTGGTTCTTAGAACTGCCTCTCTCCTTCAGTCTCTGTTGAGGTCCAGGGCCAGCCTCCAAGTGCCTGTTGACCATCTCTCACCTCTGTATTTTCCAGTCTAGCTGTTAACTATATTGGACCATACATGACTTGCATACCATTCTATAGTTTTCCACTTATAAAATCTGAAACATATTTTTTCATTGTTTATTTCTGTCCTGTGACCTTACTGAATTCAGTTTTTAATTCCAGAAAGGTTTTTTGTTGGTGTTCTTGGGCATTTCTTTGTAAATAATTATGTCATATACAAAAGGTACAGTTTATTTTATTTTGTTTTTATGTACTGCTGAGGATTGAACCCAGGGCCTCATGCATTCTAGGCAAGTGCTCTACCACTGAACCATATCCTCAGCCCAGGGGTTGTTTTAGTTCTTCCTTTCTTCGAATCTGTTGGCCTTTATTTCCTTTCTGTTCACAGCACCAGCAGGAATCTCTTGCATTATGTGGGTAAGAATGAGGAGAGTGTACATACCAGCTTTATTCTCAATTTTTTGACATAAAGAATCATCTTCATGGGCTGGGAATTTAGCTCAGTGGCACCACACCTGCCTTGCAAACACAAGGTCTTCCTTCTCTCTTTTTTTTTTTTTGTTTTGGTGCTGGGGATCGAACTCAGGACCTTGTGCTTGTGAGGCAGGTGGTGGCACCACTGAGCTAAATCCCCAGCCCTCTTTCCTTTTTGATATGGGTTTATTTTACCTTCTAGGTTCTTGAGTGGAGCTTAGATTATTAGCTTTCCTTTTCCTCTTTTTAGCACTGTCACTTTCTGTTTGGACACTGCATTACCTGTGTCAAGAGCTGAGCAGAGCTGCAGAGGACTGTGCTGCCAGCTGTGAGAGTTGCTGGTTACGGCCACAAGCAAAGGGAAGGCACTCGTCCAGCTCTACTCATATGCAGCAGTAGGACAAGCAAAAGGCTGGATCAGAAAAAATGCTGATGCCCTACTACTCCCCTTCTGCCTGAGGATCAGAAACAAGTGAGGGTCAGATGGAACCTATAGCCAGAGGGAATTATTTTATTGCCTATATAGACACATAGGTGGTGAAGCTGAACACAAGACCAAGAGTTGGAAAGTACTGAGACAAAGTAGAGTTGAAGTGTCTTCAGTTTCCTACGGAGACATGAAAGTAGCAGGGAGTGGTGCCACACACCTATAATCATAGCACTCAGGAGGCTGAGGCTGAAGGATCACGTGTTCAAGGCCAGCCTGTCTCACTATGGTATGAACCATTAGATAAGACCACTAATGACGTGGAACCATAGGACAAGAGGAAGGTCACGGGGAAGTGGGGAAATATAAGGAAGGAGGGATGGGTAGAATCAAATATGTTATATGTATTGAAAAAGAAGTTTCCTCATATGAGAAGGTCTTGGCGCAGGTACTGAGGGAGGCCTTTCCTGAACACAAGAGGAACCAGCCTCCTGGGGTGGGAGGCAGGCTTGCTTGGACGCAGATGTGTATGAGTGTGACTAGCTGTTGAGTCTGACACTGCAGCTGCATATCCCTTAGTCTGCTGCGTACCCAGTCTGGTGAGAGGAGAGCAGCCTCCCTGTTGGGCCTGCCAGGCCAGCTTGAAAAAGCACACACACTTTGAACTTCCTTGGAGACTTCCTTATTAGCCCATGGATTATTTAGAAGTCTGCTCTTCAGTTTCCAAGAGTTTGAGGATTTTATTGCTTTCTAGATTGATTCCATATGGTTAGAATACACCTGTGACTAAATTTGTTGCAGTTTTATGCCTCAGGATATGATCTTGATACATAGATACTTGAAAATAAAGTTCATTCTGCTGATACAGGATGTGGTGTTTAGACTGTCTTGATGAATAGTTTTGTTAAGTTCTCTCTACTTGCTCTATTAATGGCTGAGTTATGGATGTTGAAGTATTTAACTATAATTGTGGATTTATTTATTTCTCTTTTAAATTTTATCAGGTTTGGCTTCACATGTTTTGCAGCTTTTTTCTTGGATGTATTTATGGTTAGTGTTGCTGTCTTGTTGGTGGGCTGACTACTTACCCTTACACAGTAAGCCTCTCCAGAGGTGTCTGTTCATTTTCTTTAATCTGAAGTCTACTTCATCTATTAATATTATGCTCGCTCTTGCTTTGATGAACATTTGCATGATATAACTTTTTCTGCCCTTTCACTCTTTTTTTTTCTTTTCATTAAGTTTATTGGTACATTTTAGTTATACTATACAGTTACATGCATCACTGGGAACTTGCACCTTTACGTGATATATCTTGGTTCTAATTTTTTCCCCATTCCCCTGCCCTCCCGTCAACCTCTCCATCCCTCCCTATTTACAAAGACTTTGTTTCCATTTTTTTCCTTTTCTCCATCCTTTCACTCCTAATTTGGTTTGTCACTTAGATTTTTGTCACTGACCAAAAGCCCTGAGCAA